GCACCATGCCGCAACTTTACTTCAGCGCTAAGTCTCAGGTCATTCTGCCTGACTTGCGCCAGCGCCTTCGGATCAAATCACCAGTGCTGCGAGGCACTAAAGAGGCAAAGCCGCAAAGCCAAGAAATCACACGCAGCCGACGCAGCCCATGCAATTTGAATCAAAGTAATCAAAGGAGTGATGCCAAGTTTGAACAGTTGTGCGTTTAAAGAATTAAAAAGTTCTTCGCTCCACATCTCTTCACAATCTTTTCAGGTATGTGTGATTGGTTCTTTGGCTATTCCATGCTCTTCAAAATTCTGAGAACTTCCTGGCTGTCTATAAAACAAGCACAGCGGCAAGCGAATTGGAGTGCTTTAACTTAAAGAATCTTAGGAACGTGTTTTCACTACGTAAATAGCAAATATTAACAAGCCACCTCAGAGCAAGTATCCGCTTGAGAAGGCCTGTGACAGCTGGCGGGCACACACAGCATCCGGCCTGACAAGTCTGCTGCTCGAAGATGTTCAAAGTTCAAAGAATGTCGTCAATCTACTTTAACATTCTTCAAATATTCTTTAATGTCTTCTTTAACGCCTTCTACTTTATATAATGTTTTCTTTAACATCTTGTTTGCATGTGTCTTGCCTTGAACCTTGGTGTGGGCCACAGCCAAATCTTAAAATTGATCTGCCTGATACTTTGGGCACGGAGCTGATCGAAGACTTCTTGAGCTTTGGCGGCATCTTTGGCCCTGCAGTAAAGTCCGGGTTGCAACTTCCGAGTGGAAAGCATGGAAGAAGTGGAAGAGACCTCAAAGAACAGAATCCCACTACAGGTATATGATGTATATGACTTTAATACAACCTTCAAATCTTCACATTGAGAGAATCTTGCCTGCCATATGCGCTGATCATGGCGGTTGCGCTTGCCAAGCTTGGACTCAGTCAAATGACCATTGCAGAAACAGTGTAACAGGGTATTAGTACGGCGTATATTATATCGTTTGACTGCCTGCAGCTTGAAGCGCCCAGATGCGACCATGTTCACAGGACTGCTTCACATTCTCACATTTTCCATTCAATTCCGTGTAGCAAGAATCAGTACTGTCTTGAATGCCATGAATATTCATGGGTATTCATGGTACATTCAGTTCACGACTTCGTTCATGTACTTATTTACTAGTACAATGTATACATATGTATATATTTTCTCAATTTCCTGCAATTTCATTGCAATACTTTGCAAGTCACTGAGGTCGATGCCCTTGTTCGCTGTAAAGTTCCTCTGCTCTTCTCAAATCGCCCTCCTGCATGGCCCACCCCGTTGTGCTGTTAGATTCTCCTCCCTTGGCTTAAGACGCTTTCGGCGGTCTTGACATGGTTTCAATTATTTTGAATTGCTTTAAGATGCTTTAAGCATATTCTGAATTCTCTAGAGAAACTGCTCAACCAAAAAATGCCAATGCCCATACAACATACATTGGGTCCCTGGGTGTTGAACGCCCGCTATGGAATCTGTCAAGCCTTGCTGTGAGCATTGATCAATGTGAGGTAACTCAGCGCATTGGGTTCCAAGCCTGGCATCTGTGCCAGAGCCAGCATGCTGGACATTCTCTGTGGATGGAGCAGGCTGCTGAAACCACAGCGCAACACACTTCACGGCAATCCGCTGCTGTGATTTGGTGTTACACTTGTTCATCGCTCTAATCCCTTTCATACACTCAGTAGACTTGCAGTGCTTTCGTACTTTCTTGTAGTATCTTGTAGTATCTAAATGATTCAAAATGTATTTTTCACATTTTCACAGTACAACTGTAGTACAACTGTAGTACAACTGTAGTACAACTCAATTCAAGCAACTTTCACAGTACAACTTGTTGCCTTCAGCTTTAAGGCGGTCCAGAACTTCTTCAGCCTTGTGTGGATGGTGTGCCTGGCGGCGCTGAGTCTGAAACAGCCATCAGCTGACCTCGGACCTCAAACGTTGCAGGCCCTTTTGATTAAAAGTGGCATCTTTCAGGTTTTTGCTGTCTCTTTTGTAGGTTGGATGGTAAGCTTCCAACCTGCAAATGCTTGCATCATTGTGTCATATTGTGTCTTGCTGCACGTGTTAAATCAGCAAGCGTTCTGGACGTGTTTTGTTTTCTGCTTATGAACATTTCAAGCCGAAAGGACGGAGTACCCAAGACTGTGACTTTACAAGACCCAGAACAAGCGGCCTTTGCATAGGCTTTCATCAAGGCAGTGTACGTTGCCAAGTTTGGGGTCAACCTGAGCCACCAAAGCTGAGATGCAGTTGCTTGAGAAGAAAACATAGTTTGGACACGCGGGGGCAAGACAGTCCGCACATATTCTAGTATTGCGAGACTGTCTAAAGGTTGTCTGAGGAATACATACAGTCTATGCAATGTCTATGCTGGCTATGCTTGCATGTGATTGTGGTATGCAACCATATCTTTTGGAAGCTGAGACCTTTACCCTCTCTGCGTAAGAGCTTCAAAGGTTTCCTCCGCTTTCACACATTTTCCCAACCTGTTGCACTGGAATGAGCAAGAAGGGTTTGAAGCTGCGGATGCATAGAAGAAACATCAGCCACGCAAGGGAGCGGCACCTAGCGTATGCATCGATGAGAAGTGTGTAGCCAACCTTGGTCCACCAAACAAAGAAGATGTGGCACGAAGAACAAGTCCAGGTTCGCTTGCATAACCCAAAAATTGCTTAGATGGAGTTGCCATGCTGTGCTGACTCGAGGACATCCGTGAAACATCCCCTATATCACACAGTCATGTTCTTCCAATTTCTTCCACATGTTCTTCTTGTAATGCGGCTACAGTTCGCGCATGGGCATCTCAGACCTGGCTTGGATTGGTCGCAATGACCCATGCTTATAGCGTGCAACAAATACAGTTTCCCCACGTCCTTGATCAGAGCAAAGGGAGAAGGGAAGACTCTGGTCGTCTATCCACTTGCATACAAATGTTGCGAATACATGTGCGCATTTCTGGTTGTGTGCGCAAATGATAGAATTACATGGTCCGATATTGAATTGGCATCACACAGTCGCACAGTTCAATTTGGTGAAATCGCTGATTCAGTATAGTACAGAATCTGCCTCTCGATACAGTCGACATTTACTGCAGATTGCGGATCTCTACACTTGCACAACTTGATCATGTCATTTCACTTGCCATTGTCTGAGTAGCTTGAGAATACAATACAACGGCTGTCAGTCAAAGCATCGCAAGTCCATCTACCATGAGAACTCAACGTGCCCCCTCGCAGATTGCGGACCTTTACATTGTTTGACATGAAAGACATGAAAGTACTGACCAGCCAACAATGGATGCCAGGGACCCAATCACAGTTTACGCAGCAATTCATACAGTATGTCATGACAACTGTGGATTTTCGTGGTTGACTCGTGCACAGATTTCTTAGCGCGCTGTGCATAACTGATCACTAAACAATAATTAGTCCTGGTCCTGGTACATGTAGGTGGAATTGGGCGTTTCTACAACTTGCTTTTGGGGCTTCAAGAAGATGGCTTTGGACGATGAATGCTGGCTTGCTACAAAGGGAGTTTAGATAAATGCGGTTTTGTTCGGGTAAATTCCAGATACTCACCTGCTTCTATGCTACGAGTCATTCTTTTTCTGCAAGTGCATTGTGCTACAAAACATGATTTCACATGCTCCCCAAAGTCAGCTTTGTAAGCCTCTGTGATTGTAAATACGTCTACATGCCAATGTATGCCAAAGTAAACAGTTTATAAACAACTTATAAACAACTTTTAAAGGTATGAAGGACTTATAATTTATGAACAGCCAACGTAAGCAGCTTGTAAGCCACGTAAACAGTTTGTAAACAGCGTGTCTATTGCCCAAACCGAGGCGCCAAGTTCAAGTGACTTTCCAGGCGTTCTGCAGCTGCCAGGTCTCCAGCTTCAAGCCTTGCACCTTGATGTCGTAAAAAGAGTCTTCCAAGCTATATAATATATAATATATCGTTTATATAATATATATATATAGTATATATATAATATATTATATGATATAGAATCAGAATATATTAAACTTCAATCAACTTTGTTGGTATAGAATGCTTCAGCAGTTTCTACCAGGCTTCAAAGTGCTGTCAAGAAAGTTTCCAAAGCTGAGCTCAGTGCGCAGCAAAGCCGTGTAGGTGATCTCAGGGCCAAAAAGCAGAAAACAAATCACAAGATTGACAGTAAATAACCTTATAATATTTTATCCGCCGACCCCGGCAGATGCAAGGGGGAGCGCGCCAGGGAATAATAATTATAGTGTTAGAATCTTGACTGTTACTGATCTGCCATCTGTCGGCTCTATTTCATCTGTCAGCTCTATTTGGACATGTGCAGACGTGGATAAGAAATTCCATGCAGAGCACTGCCTGGTTTGGCTGCACATTGAATCGCTGCATGGACTTGAAGACCTGCCCATGCGGTACCAGAAGTTCGGCACAGATTTCTGTGCAAGTTCAATTAAATATAGTTAAATTAGAGGATTGTGTAAGCCTCTGGTGCTTGGATTGCACCTCGAAACTACAGAGAGAGGAAGCGGAAAGGAATTGACCTCCAAGTTGCCTGAAATGGCTCTTCCTACCTGCAAAAAATAACGCAAGTCTTTTGGTGCCACCAGGCAGCTATCGCAAGGCTGAGAACCAGGCCCAAGTTTGCATTCCATATTGTTCCGCTGGATCTAGATAAATTTGGACATTGGGAAAATCAGTTCTCAGTCCAGTCTACGTGTCCGCTATTGGAACCTGGGTCATCCTGGGTCACAGTTCCTTGAAAAAAGCAGCCACCCAGGAGGCTCGTCGTCACAGCGAACAGATTCAATCTGAAGGAACCATTCACAGAATTCACTGTTGGCAAACGGCCAATGAATTTCGATTCTGGTGAACTCTCTTCTGTAATAGATCTCTTAGTACACATCTAAGATCATCTAGGTACACCACAGACAGAAAGCATGCGCGTGTCCTCTTGGACGACCGCATGAAACCGCGGTGCTAAGATGTGCTAAGTGCCAGGGCTGAGTTTCCAAGATCTGACTTCGCACCTTCTCAGACCTTCTATCTTGCCGACAAACAAATCACATCAAATCACTTTGATCATTGCTCGAGGCCATGTGATTTCAGCAGTTGGAAGTTTTATATGGAAGGTTTTAAGCTATGTGTATGAGTGTATGACAGTGGTACTAACAGCACTTCAAAAACACACCTTGGCTGACTCCACACTTCAACAATATTGTAACAATATTAAACATGTCCAAGCTTGTGACAAGGTGTGATGGAAAAAAAGGGAGACTCCAAAGCCCAGTGCTAAAGATTCATACGCTCAGGGCGCTCGTCACAGACCCTATCCATATGCTCTTCGCACGTTTCATCAAGGCCTCAGGATTGCAGGGCGGACGGATGTACCATGATGTCTTGAACCAATAAGAATTCATTGGTATTACAGTAATTGTCCCGATAATGTCTTGATAGTGTTAAACCATTTCCAATCAAAGTAATTATATCAATGTGAATTTGAACACCATTCTCACTAGCCTGAATGTTTGCATGATCTTGGATGCTTTTGAAAGACGATTGGATGTCTTTGATATCCAGTCTGCAATGGTAAGGAATGGAAGAGCGACCTGCAACGCATTGTGCAGCCCAGTCACAGCACTCCACACGTACAAGAAATGAATCAGCCTACAGGGAGCACATGATTGGAGCATGCTTTTAGAATGAAGCTTGACATGGATATCAACAACACGCATAGCCCGACAGAGGCCCAAAGCATTGTAGGTCATGCCACGCAACTTTGGCACAAAACGCGATGGCATTGCACAAATGTGGGCAAGCATGGCAAGCATACGCAAACAGGCAACGCTTTGGCGCTTTTGGAAGGAGGTCTCGAAGTGTCTCAAACCGCAGTCTGATAATGTACTCACAATATCCCTGCTCGGGAGCCAAGGTTCCCTAATCGATACGAACATGCAAAATCCTCAAACTTTAAAAAAACCAGTAGTCACCCTTGCCAAGAAAACATAGTGTTTGCACAGTGTCTCCCTGATGAACATTGTGGCAGCTGGTGTAGTGATTGCATTCACAAGTCACTGGAAAGTTTTCACTCCAAACTTCCTTTGCGCTCCATGGGCTATGCTTTAGCTACCTGCACTTGCAATCTTGCGTACAATCACAAGGTAACTCACTGCTTTGGCCAATTTGACAGCATCGCCTCTTGTGCTCCTTGATCGTGTGGATCATCCAAGGGAAGCTCATCAAAGCCTTGCTCGCATCAGTGTCTTCCCTTGACATTCCTTGACTTGAAGAAAGATACTCGAGTGTCTTATATAGAATGCGAACACATCGATTCCTCCAACTTGGAATCTGCGCTGATTGATTCTCACCGGGCCCTAAGGCATCCTAAGGCTTCATTTCATCATCACATTTCATCTCGCTTTAGCTATGGCCCATTGCAGTCAGCAAAGGGATGGTATGGCCGTTGACTCGTTGACTCGTTGGGTCATTGTGATGGTACTGTACAGCCAGGTAGCGCTGAGAACAGGCGACTGTCAAACGAAGTGGTCCAGGGCTGTGCTTGTGCAGCTCGGAGACAAGCTCCATGGCTGGCCTGCAAGGGTCTGTGTACAGTATCATTTTTTCTCCTTAGGACTCCTTGTCATAGATCCATCAAGATCCTGTGGCGCTGGGTTGGTCTTGAACGGGCCCAGTTCCGGGCCAGTGATCTTGTCTTAAGTCCTTGCATGTCCTTGCGTCCAGTGCGTTCCAAGACAGCCCAAACCCAGGCCTCGCCACATCATCTACAGCTATCAAGACATCGCCTTGACGAACCTGAACTTCAAGTTGAACAGCTGCAAATTGTGCAATGGTACGATATTGTATGATTTCTTGGCAATTAAGATCCAGAAATGATCAGAAAAACATGAAAAAACCAAAATTATCAACATTTCAAAATGTCAAGCGCCTCAATCTACAAAGCAAATCAAATCAACACATCTGTGCCCATTGATCGCCATCGGTGACTTATCACTTTTGTCGTCTCTGAGCCGAGTCGCAATGTGGGAGTCCTCACACCTGCAGCGATCGATCAATGTGCATTCTGCCACAACTCTGAAGATGCCCGTCCCTCAAGGCAAGCTTCCTATCCTCCACAAGAACTGGGGACTTCCCAATCACGTGCAATCAACAAGTCGAAAATAGATTCGAGAACATTTGAGAACTGTTCTCGCACAGATTGACACCTCCGGTTCCAGCGGTCGAGAAGGCCATGGGGCCGCACGTACGCCACTGTGGCATGGTTGCCGCCCACGTCCAGGATGAGACCCAAACCAATGTCCTCAGCATCTGTGATTTCGCAACGATTGACACAGAGCTTCGACCGGGGCCTTGCAAGCAACAACGAAAAAAATGAACATCGTGAGCCAGGAGCAAATAAAGTATAGACCATGAACATATGAATTAACGATAGTTGCATATAATTGCAGCAATTCAGATTATTTTATGAAATGACTTACGGGTTTACAGGTGTAGTCGCGGCAAAGCGTGGTGCGTTGGGATGCCGGCGGTACGGCTTCGTTTCTGCCAAGATGCTTCTCCAACCATGACCTGGCACATGCTTAAAACGTCTTGGAAGCTAAGAGCAGTCTCGAGATGGCTCAAAATGGCTCAAATACGCATAAATCCATCGTCATAATCCAAACAGTATCAATACATATCAATACATTGTCAATATATTATCAATACATTCTCAATACATTATCGATACATTCAATATTCTCAATACATTATCAATACATTTTCCAACATTTGAATACATTTGACGTATTCAATGTCAGGCGTACAGTACCGTGAATGCTTCATCAAACGCCGCTGGCAAAATCACTTTCAGATCTGCAGAGAAGCACCCAAAATACGCGAAATCAAAGAAATCAAACATCAACTTATCAAATCATGCATAATTATGCATAATTTACTTATCATAGAGGTCAATCATCAGTTGCAAAAGCTGGGCTTTTCATGGCCTTTCTAAAACGGCCGTCATTTTAAATGCAAAGCCAGGATCTCACCTCCACAGTGTATGTGCACCTCAGTCCACAAGATATGATATGCTAATTTCAGACACTGCATCATACATATCATACAGCCATTTAGATTTCTCACTGGAGTCAGATTTAGTTTTTAGATCTTTGAAATTCTTTGAACATCTCTGCACCCTCCGTTTTGCTCGCTTTCGTTACTGGGTTTTGAGGCAAACAATTACAAAGAAGTTGCTTGAAAGATCTTCGCAGATCTTTAGCCATGGAACTCCACCTCCTCGAAGCCGCTCTCTTCCGGAGTCCTTTGGGTGAGCTCGTGAATGTGTCTGAGCAATGATGTTTCTTGATTTTGTGGTTTCAACACAACGTAATCACAACGTATGCATCAGAATTCCCAATGAGATCTGGTCAATATATGTCAATATCACATATTTCTCCAAGGACTTGACGCATTTTGCGCTGCCTCGGGAATGCTCGTTACCTTGGCAAAATCATCATCATTGAGACCGCAGTAAACATCGCCGATCTGCACCGCGTCTTCACAACTTTCATCTACCCCGCAACATCCTGCAACTAAACAGTATTTGCCTCGCAAAACGCCACTCCTATTCTTACATAAAATCAATATATATATACATATATGTAGGATTCGCCACAATGTCATGAAGGACCTGCCCAAAGACCTTCCGCGGATTTCATCTTACAGATTCATAATTATGTAGATTCATGATGATTCATGATGATTCATGTAAATAGCCATGGCTTTCAGGAGTTTCTTTACACCTGTGCTGAGCAGCCGTGATTGCTTCTTTGGAAGGAAGCTTCGTGAGATTCTTGCGCCTGGCTGTGGCATCGTACTGTTGGCGATAGACCCTGAGTCAAAAACGTGCACTCAGGTGCACTCAGGCAAACTATGGCAAACTATGGAAACTTCAGCCAAACAACCACTTGAGTCAACAAAGATTTTCGCACAGGCTACAAGAACGGCAGTTGCCTGATGCCCAGTGCACGTGTGTGCTCCTATCAAATTTGGGAAGCTCCAACAAATATCGCAAATTTAGCAAGGAATGCAAAGATCAATGAAGGGCTTTGAATCAACATGAATCAACTCATCTGCGCAAAACGAGTTTCTAAAGAAAGGCCGTGTTTGGACGTGATGGGATAGAGACGATAGACGAATATAGACGAGAACTCAGATAGACGAGATGGACACGTTCCATGGATGCTCAATGCTCAGTGCAAAATGCAGAATTTTCAAAAGAATGCAAACCATTGGCAAACCATAACAAAAGATATACAGCTTCACCGGCTTCACTGGCTTCACCGGCGCTCCTTTGGGACCGGCAGCTCCACAGGTTTCCCTTCCTGGGCAAAAAATGAAGCTTCCGTCATCAGAAATCAGCCATGAAGCCGTGGGAGTCGGTTGATGCTGAGCTTATGCATCTTATGCTGATCATGATGCCCAAAAAAGTCCTTAAACCTGGGAGGCAAAGCGTGCTCAGGCCAACATGCCGGGTCATTCTCTTCGCATGCACAGAGTGGTCGCAAATCAGCGCCAAGTATCATCAGCGCACGTCAAATTTTCGTGACTGGAAGCAGTGTCGATTGCTTCCACATCCTGATTAGGGGAGAACCATAATTTTTACTGCATGAAATAGGTTCCTCCTTCCAATATCTATGCACGAACTAGCGGTCACAATGTTGAAAATTCATCTGGTCACGATCTAATGGGGCCATGAGAGTTGTCTGTCCCAGCCAACTTGACATCTTAAAGAATGCTAACATATCAAGCCAAGCAGCCATGACATGCCTCGCTTGCGGGTACATCGATTGGCAAAGTCATTGAAAATCAAAAGCTGCAATTCGAGTGTCTGACTAATTTGAGTGTACAACTTCCCCTGAGGACAAATTTCAATGAACTATAAACGCTCAATTACTGTAATTGTGGGCAGCTTGGCAAGGCTTGGCAAAGTGGCATTTCGGAATGTTTAAGCAAGAGACTCTGTTGATTCTGTCCCAACGTCGCTGAAGCAAGCTCTCCGTGCAATCACAGGTACATGACCTGGCATATCCACCAAATTCTGTGCTTTCAATTTCAAAGTCTTGTGAAATCTTGTGAACAATTGAGACATATTGAGACTTTGAAACTGATGAAACGGATGACACTCGTCTCTCTAGCCATCTCCTGCATCTCCAGCCTCTAAGCGCCTCCAAAGGTCCAGTGCAAACTTCTTCACACTCGCACTCGGTCGCTTTGAGGTTGGAGCCATCAGAGGCCTTTGCATGAAGGTCTAAAGGATTCTAAAGGCCACCTCCTCACTAGATTCCCTTTTTGTTTCTTTTTGTGATACCAATGCGCTACTTGAAACGGTATGAAGGATGAAAGGTGTGACCATCAATGAACAACAATCACTTCATACCCCTTACACGTAGATACAAGTAGGTTCTTTTTGTTCTAAGAAGTCTGGCATAGTCACTTGATGTCACTTGCAGGCACCGGTATGTTCTACGAAGCAAGAAGTGAATAAAAGGACTCAAAACTGACTGAAGCGAAGCAAGTATGTACCTCACTGCAAAACATGGCTGAGCTTTGTGCCATGCAGCAGTTGCTGCTGAAACAAATCATGGCGGGAAAGCAGCCATAAAATGCATACTGGCTAAGTCGACGTTAATTGGTTTTGATGTGAAGACTGTAAAGTTGAATGGCCTTTGCGGCATGGCCGAGCCAACTTGCAAACGCTTTTACCGTCATCGTGGCGGGAGGTCCGAACCCCGGAACTTTCAATATGGTAACCCATCAGCCAACCAGACTTCTTAGTTGCCAAAAGTGAGATGCTCCGAGGTGTCGTTTTGTCCAAGCAGCTAGTTGAAGTGATGGAGATGTGCAAATTCCAAATGCCAAGTCTTCCAAAACACTTTTTGCTTCGCAGCTTTGGTGTCTTTTAGAGCCCTTGCTTGTTGTCTACGCTGAGTTTTGAAATCACTGAGCAAACGAGAGAGAGAGAGAGAGAGTGTTTACATGAGTTTACGATGCAGAAAGCTAGCTAGTAAAACAAGTGAGACTGAAAAGAAAGGAAGTGCAGTCCAATGCTGCTGCTAGCGCCCAAACACACGCTTTCATATTCATTCATATTTTCATTCATATTTTCATTCACATGATATTTATTCATGTATATATTTTCAATAATTAGTTTGAGATATTTGATCCCCTTGACATTCTCGAATCATCTTGCATCTGCTTGACGAGGGCTACCGCAGCCCGCCTCTTCAGCAGCTGCCCGGTCTCCTGCACTGTCAAAACTTTGGAGCAAGTCTGCAGCCAACCTTCGAAGTCCTTAATCCTTAATTTTTCAGATGTCAAAGGTTCCTGAAAAGGTCCAAATTTACCGAAAACAAACATTATTTGTACACTTGTATATAATGTATCATCAAGTATGTAATCATGGCTTTTCCTAGGCGGAGTTTGGATATTAAGACATGAATGAATGCTGCTACAGCTGCCTGGCCAACCTCTTTTTGGCCCTGCAGACTGGTGGCAAAGAGTGCGCATACACCGGAAAGAACTCATCCTGTTGCACTTCCGGGTGTTTGATTTTCGGCAACACGTGCATATCTATGATATTCCTTCACAGGAATTTAGTTAAATTGGCAAAAAGGAAGAGTTTGATGATGTGGATCCCCAGATGCAGAGAGACTCAAGATGAGTCAAGCAATCTGAAAATAGTCATTGGATATATTATATTGCATGTCCTTACGTACCAGGGGACCCTCTGACCACACCTGCACGAGCATAGGCCTCAATGACAATGGTGAAACCTCAGCATGCGGAAATGAAATGAAATGTCGGGACAAGGCATTTCATGTGTCATGGACAAGCAGAATAAGTACATAGTGTTGCCAAGCAAGTTTTGCAAGATGTTGTGGGCCGAAAGAGCAGGAGACCTACCATGAGCATCCATGTGCCATGAACCCTGAAGATCCTGAAGGACTGCCGAGAATTCTCAAGAATGAGATCGATGATCTATTTTGATTATTTATGTAACTTCCGTATGTTGATACCATGGCAAAGCCAGCCAGCCCAACTGAAGGACCATTATCATCTTGTCGCTGTTTGACAAAGCAATAAGTTCCACACTCACCACTCCTGGCCTGGCAAGGAGAAACTAGCAGCATCCTATCATCATCGAATAATAATCAATATAATCTATGATCCTGTGATATACTGTGCCATCTGATCCAAAAGCAGCACTCACAGAAAGCGTATGAACATTTTATATATATACTGTATATGTTTTGGCGATCCAGCAGAGCAGTGGATGCAGGGTATTTAAGGCAAATCAACAATCCGTAAAATTTGACAGGGATACGCCACGGACGTGTTTATCATTTCGTTGAGGACCTGCAAGCTTTGGGCAGCGGAAAACATCAATTGAAGCTGACTTCGCTTTCCTACATGCAAAGGATGAACTCACACATATCCAAAGGTGTTGCCACTATCTGAAGACTCGATGTCTTTTTGAGCAGCCTGGACTTGATCAAAACATACTATGAGAATGAACTTCAAACATGCTGATGCTGAGACGGATGTTTCCCATATATATATATAGTTATATATATAGTTATATATATATAGTTATATATATAATTATATATATATATATAACTATGTATATACATATAATATATACATATGTTACATATGTGTATTCACATCGTACTGTCTGTGAAGTCTTCCTCTGACAGGCCTGATGTGCTCCAGTTCCATCTGCAGATTTGGCATGGGCGTCCAGCAAGGTATTGTAGCCTTCTTTCAAATAAGCACCAAATGTGAGCACAAACAAAGAAAAACAAAGTGAACGTGATGGGTTTTGCATGAAGGACAGGTATGGGCTAATAAAAGATGTACAATCAGCACGTCGCCCGCCGAAAAGAACATCAAAGTAGGAGAATGTAGGAAGTATAGGGAGCAGGACCTAGTAAAGAATAGTCAGTGAAGGGTAACATTAACATCTGAAGCGGTGAAATCAACACTATCTCGAAACTGTCAGTGTGGTCATAAAAATAAACACCCTTCTTTCTTGAGGTCAGATCTCACTTGGTCTGGTGTGAGCCGCTGCTGCAGCATCTCCTTGCATCAGTGATTTCAGTCGAAAGCATAGAGAAACCTTGTCTTGAGAATTGAGAAAACCCTCGTCTTGGCCTTTGGGGTTGCCAGCTGCTCAGCTTGAATTCCCTCGTGAGAGAATCATGAAGCTACAGAACATCCACCCATTGACACAATTTGACAATATTTGACACATGTCTAAAAGATTCTCAAAGTGTTTGATTGTATCCTGGAAGGCCGCTGCAGCAGCCGGTGCATTTTCTGCACGTTTCAAGGCCAGTGAAGCAGCGCTCAAACCACCTGAGCCAAAAAGATACAAACGAAGAGATACGAAGACCCTGTTGTCCGTCAAGGTTTGGTTGATAAGCCTGCCCTTTTTTCTTTCGCTAAAATGAAATCTGATGCTTGATGCAGTTCCTGACAAGTTGACCCACGTCTGGAGTACCAGTATGAGGTTGCGTCAAAAGGTCTCTATCGGTCTGCCTCCAGTACTGCTGTGTAGTTCCATCCACTCCTGCAGAGCACATGGTCAATGACTCCGTCAACAAAGAACGCAACCCAAACAACACACTGATACACACTCAGCGTATCCGCGAATATCTAAGCATAGTGTATTGATGTATTGTAAGCTATGGGAAGCCGATGCGAGCTGCGCTTTGAGTCACAAATGTCTTGTGGCACTTCCGTCCCTGTCCTGTGAGGAGAGATTTCCTCCTGCAACCTCGGCGTTTGGTTGATTTTGTATCTTGATGTGCCTGCATGTGCCAGGCAGAAAGAATTGGTTGTTAGATGTTGTTAGGGTAGCTTCATCGCTATTTAGGGATGACATCGAGCTAAGCTGCAGAAATCACCGAAAGCATCTTTCATCAAACCAGCATGGTAGCCGCAGCTGTTTATCATCATTTAGCTCTACAAGTAGCCAGCACGTAAAGGGGCCCTAGCTGATACAAAATAAGCTTTTTGCATCCTCTTGCATGGCAATCCAGGCTAGATATTCCAAATATATCCAAATATTTGCCAATCTACAATGACTATCAATGACTGATCTTTTAAGCAACGTTCCGAACGTCAAAGAATGGATCGATGTGTTCACAAAGCCTAGAGTGAATATTCGTACCCTTTTTGCTCACCTTTTTGCAACAGATGTTCAACTCTGACTGCAAGTCCCTTCAAGTCCCTTCAAGTCTGACTAAATTTAGAGCCCCAGCCAAACGGAGCTCTTTGCTCAGGCGCTGCTGCGTGGTGAGTCTCAAGCCCAGAGTCAGTGCGTGTGGCAGCAAGCCACGAATGCGAGGACTTGGCACACAGCAGTAATTTGGCAATGATGGCAATGCAGGTCGAGGTCGTACAGGTCGTACGGTCGTACAGGTCGTACGGTCGTACAGGTCGTACGGTCGTACAGGTCGTACGGTCGTACAGGTCGTATTTAATCGTATTTCATCTCCGTACTCTAGCAGTACTGGCTTGAAAACATTGGACTATTCCGGAAAATGACATGCCCGTGCAATGCAAACTTCCAATCTGCTTCCAGAATGTCGCCTGTTGCAGTTCGCTTGAGAAATTACGCAAACATGCAAACCACATCAGCAGAACATGGAACACTGATAAGAATCTGTATAAGCATTGCATAATCCATGTCTGAGCTGTCAACGAATGCCTTGGCAGCAGGAAGACGTTGCCTTGTTCATCTGCCACTAGGATGCCCTCTGGCAACAAGTACTGCAACTCCTTGAGTGGTGACTGTCATGGCAGCCATCAAGGGTCAAAGTGGAGCGGCATTCTAGAGCTCAACAGACTGAATAGAGATTCGCAACAATCCTGCTTCAGTCCTGCCGCACTCGTTGCTTCAGCAATGTTACTTCAGAGGGACGCAGCCTATCACTGCAAACCATACTATGTAATAATTGCATATAATTGCAGCAACTGGTACACTGATAATGAATGATTCTGAATGGTAAACATATTCGTAGACATTGCAGCAAAAATGAATTGCTCCAACTTCAGCGTCCATGACTGCATGACTGTATGACTGCATGACTAAGTGACTAAGGGCTCAAATTACGTCCGATCCTGCCCATCCCATTAAAAGGGCTTGGAAGCGCCTACGAAGATCCAAACTCTCGAACGCATCGGCATCTGCATCTTTGGTCTTGTCCAGCTCTGGATGGTTGTCAGCATCCTCACGCTGCAATCGAATCTCGTTGCAGTGACTATATAGTAGAAGAGCTGCCTAGTTTGCTTTTACGGAACCCGAATCTATATTTTTTGTGTTTACATTTACAGTATATATAATTTTTCATCCTTGCTTTTTCTCTTCCCAGTTTTGGGTATGCAAAAGACCTCCTGCCTTGCAAAAGCAGGCAACGAAAAAGCCCTCTGCATCTAGCAAATGTGGCCAAACCTCACAAAGGGATAGACCCACTGGACCCACTGGTTCATCCCTATAAAGTTATAAAGTGCACGTTTACCTGTCATCCTGGATCAGCACCTTCATGAAGGATAGAGTGTTCGCAGGCTTTACTTGCGTGGATTGGCCACAAATGCAGGGCACATTCGAAGCAGAAAACAGGGAGACAAATGATCAAATCATTTGTGTGGTCAATCAGTCGCTGAGATTTCAGTGCGTTCATTTATGAATTATCGTAATTTGAATCATAACATATAATAACTATGGCGCACGCACCAGGCACTCTTGCCGCTACATCCCGTTCTGAAATGTCATGGCTTGGTGACACCAGGCCCAAAGAGCACAGTGGCTCAGTTCGGCGCTTACAAGGCACGCCACCCTGTCTGTCACACTGCCACGTCTCGCGTCAGCTTGAGACAAGAGCCATCCATAGTCATATATATATATATATATGTTCCAATACAGTATATTCTGAAACATATTCAAATTGTTCTTCATAATTCTAGATATATCATTCTATATTCAATTGATTTCAATTGATTGCTATTCCAAATGACAGTAACTGAGGCGGCGCGCTCGCAGAAAACCTTGTTTTGTTGCCATCGGCCTGACTTCGGCACTCAACAAGTAGATGAATGTAAAACACCACTCGACATTACTGCTTCAAGCCATTTCAAGCCAACATATGGTTTGCTTTGCAGTCATCGAGGTTGTGTCCATGCTGCCCGGGCAATTTTGAGTTATCATAAAATTAAATTATACGTATAGTATCGACATACAAAAAACGAAATATAATCTGCAGTTGGCCTGACGTGCAATAAATTAGAGATCGCCTGGACTCTTCCTTCATCACGATCATCACGAACAAACATCATGCAGCACAGCCGAAGCATCCTAGCCCTAGTCCTTTCCACACAGCAATTCCCGAGCTTCGCGCTGGGCACCCAAGCTGATGACCTTTGCACCCTGCTGCTGGAGCCAACAGCACCTTAGAAACTTCCGCGCACCCAGCAGGAAATGGGGACTCACATGGACTCCAAACTTCTACAATCTCAACTTCTTACAGTAACCAGTCATAACCAGTCCGTATCAGTCCCAAGCAACTTGTCTTTTGAAAATTGGGAATTGGAATCTTTGGAATAACGATATTGGAAACAGCATGAAACAGCTATATATGTAAAGAAAATGCCAAGCCAACATGCAGCTGACCTCTTTACCAGTCGAGACATGTTGGGACAAGCTCTGAGGTTCCAGCTGCATCTCGTTCTCCTTGTTATTGAGTGTACAGGTGGAGTACACCTCAATTCTTGAGAACGCGCAGGAGTCTGAGAGAAAATGAGAACCCAAATGGAACTCAAATGGAACCCGATGGAAGAATGAATCCAGCAAGGAAAGCGATGGAACCGTGCATAAAGATGACCATTGTCATGACACATTGAAAACATCAGGGGCATATAGAGCGCATTGCACATTTGAATGCTCTGAATGCTTTGATAAGTGCGGGATTGAGGTTCGAACTAGGAGGCCACCGGGTTGCAAAGCTTCCCAAGCACTGCCGAGGAGCTCCTGCCTTGGGTGTGTAAAGAAAATGTCACCATTCTTGCTACCTAAGAAATTCAATGTACATAATTGTACATGGTGATTCAATTTCAGTCATATTCTATCATATTTTATATGTGTATATATACCTGTGTATATGATGTATATGTGTGTATACTAGGTACTGATGGGATGAGACTTGTGTCCGTCAGAGAGTTGTGCCTTCTGCAGGCAAACTCCGAACTCATGTCGGAGCCTGTGAAATCAGATTGAAATTGATTCTATTGCATGCAGCTCAAATCAACAAAACGCAAAATAACGGCCAGGTTGTTGGCAAAGTCACTACCTTGCGGTACCCCCATGGAAATCTCCATCTACATGCATCTACAATCATCATCAATCATCTACATACCATCTACAATCATTTGAAAGCACCACAATGCCAATGCTCTGCTACTTCACAGTTTCTTGCAAATCAATTTGCATCTAGAGTCGTGCGGTTTCATACATGACTCACATGACCCTTTACAGGCATTCGTATTATTTTGTACGCATTTTTCATATCGTGCAAACTGCTTTAGAACCAGGACCAATTTCGGCCCGAATTTTGGAGACTCATACTGACTCTTGCATGTGCGCTGTGTAAAAAGCATAAGTTTGGGAATCTTATATTGCAGTAGATTCTGACGTGCACTGACCAGAGAATACCAAAGCGGATGATGCCCAGAAGATTTAAGGGCAAGTCTGGGATGCTGATGGACCCGTTCAACCAAAATCCGACAGAGATCTTTGCCAGTCAGAAGCGTGAAAAAGAATGAAATACTGTAGAGGCCCCCAAAGGAGTGTTTGCGTCAAGGTCTGATCCTGATCCCAAGATATTCGAACAGTGCCCTCAAGATGCAGCCAAAGTGCTGCAGGTCACATCTTGACTGTAGCTGCAAGGAATGATTGTCTTGGGCCTGAAAGATCTGAAAGTGAATGAGGAGTGGATGATGTTTGTCTCGTGGAGCTGCGTTTCTGAGGATCCATGGGAACCATTGTTTTTCATCTTTTTTCAATCCGATCATCTCTTGGATCCATTTTGAATCTAGACATCGCCTGCAGCACTCACACTTTTCATGCCCAGCCAGCTTCTGCAAGCACACCTTTTATGTGACATGAGAACTACGCCAAGTTGAGTTGAAAACTAAAGGCCTTCAGTGCTGTGTGATCTGAATGGAAACGTGTGGAGGAGTGGAGCCTAATTGTTGTGGCCTGCAATAAAACTATGCTTAGATGATCTTATACAGTATGATTGTATGATATTGTATGATATTGTATGATAACTCATGATTCTATGAGCTTGGGATCCGCCCTTCGAGCTACTTCACCGACTGAAGCTGCATGTTACAACAGATCAACGCTGCCACATTTTTCCTCCACATACCATTTGGAGCATTTAACCAGAGTGAAGTTCGTCAAGGTTGTAGCAATTAAAAATAGAGTGCCCTTCACGGACGGGCCTATAGAATCCTATAGATATCAAAATTGAAGCCTCTACCATACTTAGTTGCCCCACCTTCTTTTTCCAGCCCAACATACAACATACAAAAGAGTATATAGGCAATTCATGGCAATTCTAAATACAAGTAGCATGCAAAGAAACAAACTAAAAGAAACCTTGACTTTCGCGAAGCCTTGAAAGACTCTTGGATTCAACTAGGCAAAATCCAAGGTGCAACGCGCCATCTCTACACTAGAAATCATCAGTGAACCTATGACATCAGTATGACATCCTATGACTAGAGTTCTGCTGTGGACAGTCGATTCCACCCCAGCCACAATCACTTCGCTGTGCATGGAAACCTCTGCACAAGAAAAAAGCCGACGCAGATCCGTGCAGCACCGCTTTCATTAACCCTTTCATCACCTTGGAGTCGACAATTTCTCCCAGATCAAGCAAATCGTTTCCTGTTGTTCGTAGACATGAGAAATGGATAGAACTGGATAGAAATGGAGGATTTGAATTGGACCTGTTTTTTTGAGCGTTGAACACAGCTGCCTTCTGGGATTCCAGCACGCCAACCCATTTCTTTGGTGGAGGCGCAACTTTCCGATTGGCATGGACCTGCATGTTATAGTAGTTCAATGATGGCTCTCTCTCACTTGCTCACTGCCCAGAGCTTGAGAGACTGGTTTGGCTGATTTCGAAAGCAATGGCAGAAACTGCTTCAAATCACGGCCATGGCATCACGAGCCTCTTTAAGCTTATAGAGAGCCTCTTCCTCTCCCTCCTGGCAAAACGCTTTCCCTCGATTGACGACATGACACGTTGCTGACGCTAGGTGACTTGCCCACAAACTTATCAAATCAGCCTGTTCTGACATATTGGCTCAATCATGCAGAATCAGTCACACTATGTAACATTGGATCTGTGACAGAATCATATGAAAAGCATCGCAAGGCATCCGCAGGGTCCTTTGGAGCCTTGGCCCGTGGTGAGGTTCTGACATTTTCTGATGACCCTTGGGCCCTTGTTGGACATCTGACCATGTGGCTCAAATTGCACAGCTCCAAGCACGACTGTTTCCACCTATTTATTCCTGAATTCAAGATACTTGTGGCCAAACGGAATGTGCAAAAAGAAAGGGAATCATGACAGAGTATAGCAGCTGCTATAGCTACTTTAAGACCTTTATATAAGCTTTGCAAGTCTGAATCCTTCACGCCAGGGTGCGAAGGCAAGAAGTGGATTGCCTGCTCGCCACAAGCTGCTCAGGGAATGTGCTTGCAGAATGCAAAGCAATAACGGCGCAAAGACTATGCACTGCTAGGGTGTGCTGAGGTGGCGATTTTCCCCGCGCCGGTTGCTTGTACAGTAGTAGCTACCAGACTTTGAACAAGGACTGAGCACTATAGAGTAGAAAAGGCATGAGTCTGACCCATGGGACAAGCACTCCCATTTGCAAATAGAGTGCTTTTAGCTTCTGCTAGGTGATGTCATGTTGTGAATCAACCTTCTGCAACATAGTGCAATGCGCCTGACATTGCTGCAGCACTGAACATGGAATCATCAGGGCCTTGGCACATCGTTGGACAGCTTTGGCTCTGGTATGTTCGTAAATTCTGTAAACTGTCGATATCAACGGTTAGTCTGATCAGTCTGTTACATGCCACTTGCGTGTTCTTGGAGCATTCACCCAGCCAATCGATCTTTATGGTCTTGAAACATCATGAATGTCCTATGTGTTGAAAAAAAACATGTGGCTCAGAGACTGGACAGAAAAATAAAGCCTTGGAAATGTCTAGAGTCTAGCGTCTAAAGCTAGACCTACGCCTTCATAAAGTTTCAAGGCACCCGACTCAAGAGACCAATGCAAGATGAAACATGCTTATAGAAATCATTCGATAAATCATTCGAAATCAGGATCTGTGCCAAGTTTTGCCCAGTTTGCCAAGAGTGCTAAGACTGCTTCAGCACCCTCACTTGAGATGTTGGAGGAGTTGGTACCATGCTGGTTGGGAATTCAAATAAAGAACAACACTGTAGTAATCGATCTCATGTGGGTATGTATATATATATGCATGGATAATATACGTAAATGTATATGTATACTGTATAGTATTAGAATTATGTTATTATAATTATATATACATATATTCATCTCTTATAATACTTCATCTTAACTCAATCTTGCTTCTCACATCTTCTGACTCATGACTCATGACCAAAAATAACGGCAGGCGTGCCAGAGCCAAAGTGTAGAGTCGTGTGGCGTTTTGACAGCTCCGCATGGAGTTGTTGATCCTCCACGACAGGTGGTTCATCATGGTTCATCCAAGAAATGGAGCCACGGGGAGGTACCAGGTACCTCCGTCCGTGTCACTCCACGATAGAGTCCAATCATGGCTGATCTCAATTCATCTCAATTGGAGCAAAAGAACAGTTGTACTGTTGTACATATACTTTTGTTCATGAACTGAATGTGTTTTTCTGTGTCTAGAATTCTAGAACCTGTTTTCTGTGGCATGACACTTCAGTTCAACAGCCATCCCACTCCTCTGTCATCTTCTTCTCATTTCGCCTCTGACGTCGATCATGATGTCGATCTTCAGGTGTCCTGGCGAACAGATATGAACATGATGCTGATGTGTTGTTTGTGAATTTGTTTGTGAATGCCACCAGCAACTTAAATCAACATGTTCCTGTCCCTTCTCATAGAAAATGGAATTCGCACACAGGCGCCTTACAGCCTTTGGAGGTGGCTTCGTTGGATGAAAGCCCACATTGTAGCAATGTGTGGCAGTGTTGGAAAAATAGTCCAGCCTTACCATGCAATAAGCTTTCAGCAAATTTCGTATTGTCACTTTCCGGAAATCCCTCGAGTGTCGGATGTCATCTTCTCTAGCACGGAGGCACATCAGTGAAGGATGATAGGTCGAGCGCTTGGTAGTTTTTTGTGCATTTGAAACCAACAAAGAGAAATTTGTGCCGAAGCTCGGTCCATCTTTCGTCTCAAAGGGGGCAGACATGAAGCCATCACCACCAGGCGAGTAATCGCTGTCTAAGCTGGTGCAAGAATTAAACGCAACAACAAGACCTAGCTGTTCTATGTTTTTCTTGTTCGTTCTTCTTCGAATGTTTTCAGAATGGTCTGCGATCCCCTTTTGCCAACTCTCAAACCTAAAAAAACGACCGCTGGTATACTGCATGTGAGCCTTCATCAGTTGAAGACTTCAAAACAAGCCACGATCGTGGTTCTTGCATCCCGGTGCATTCCATGAAATAATGATTGTTGATGTTTGTTGTACATCATGTACCTCTTCGTGTATCTTCATCATTTACATTTATAGAAACATTTATAGAAACATTTATAGACACATTGATAGACACATTGATAGACACATTGATAGACACATTGATAGACACATTGATAGACACATTGATAGACACATTGATAGACACATTGATAGACACATTGATAGACACATTGATAGACACATTGATAGACACATTGATAGACACATTGATAGACACATTGATAGACACATTGATAGACACATTGATATAGACACATTGATATAGACACGATTTATAGACACGTTTATAGACACGTTTATAGACACGTTTATAGACACGTTTATAGACACGTTTATAGACACGTTTATAGACACGTTTATAGACACGTTGATAGACACGTTGATAGACACGTTGATAGACACATTGATAGACACATTGATAGACACATTGATAGACACATTGATAGACACATTGATAGACACATTGATAGACACATTGATAGACACGTTGATAGACACGTTGATAGACACATTGATAGACACGTTGATAGACACGTTGATAGACACGTTGATAGACACGTTGATAGACACGTTGATAGACACGTTGATAGACACATTGATAGACACATTGATAGACACATTGATAGACACATTGATAGACACATTGATAGACACATTGATAGACACATTGATAGACACATTGATAGACACAGATAGACACATTGATAGACACATTGATAGACATAGACACGTTGATAGACACGTTGATAGACACGTTGATAGACACATTGATAGACACATTGATAGACACATTGATAGACACATTGATAGACACATTGATAGACACATTGATAGACACATTGATAGACACATTGATAGACACATTGATAGACACATTGATAGACACATTGATAGACACACATTGATAGACACATTGATAGACACATTGATAGACACATTGATAGACACATTGATAGACACATTAGACACACATTGATAGACACATTGATAGACACATTGATAGACACATTGATAGACACATTGATAGACACATTGATAGACACATTGATAGACACATAGACACGATAGACACATAGACACGTTGATAGACACATAGACACGTGATAGACACGTTTATAGACACGTTTATAGACACGTTTATAGACACGTTTATAGACACGTTTATAGACACGTTTATAGACACGTTGATAGACACGTTGATAGACACATAGACACATTGATAGACACATTGATAGACACATTGATAGACACATTGATAGACACATTGATAGACACATTGATAGACACATTGATAGACACATTGATAGACACATTGATAGACACATTGATAGACACATTGATAGACACATTGATAGACACATTGATAGACACGTTGATAGACACATTGATAGACACATTGATAGACACATTGATAGACACATTGATAGACACATTGATAGACACATTGATAGACACATTGATAGACACATTGATAGACACATTGATAGACACATTGATAGACACATTGATAGACACATTGATAGACACATTTATAGACACATTTATAGACACATTTATAGACACATTTATAGACACATTTATAGACACATTTATAGACACATTTATAGACGATTCATGTTGATTCAATGCTTTTCAATGCAGCAGAGTATCACATCGGTACATGCTCCTCCCTGGGAGTGGTCTCACGTTTGCGTGGACTCCGTGGACTCATTCGTGGTGAATTTCCCATGTCTCCTGGATACCAAAGGCGAACATCAACGAATCGTAACGCATCAACATGTATCAACATGTATCAACATGTTCTACTTGGAAAATGAAAAATGACAAAAATAAAACATGCAAAATCATGATCAAACCTTTTTGGAAGTAGAATGTTGGTAGCATTCTGTAGCACTCTCACCCCTACCTGGACTGTCAAGTTCTTCCGGAGATTCATCAGGGAGAACCTGCCATGCCGCAGTTTTTGAGCGGCCATCTTGATGGGACATGCGCAGGTAACATCTTGTAACCTGTCGATGTCGGATGCTACCGGGTCTAGCGCATCAAAGTCGAAGTGTCATTAGCAGTTCATTAGCCATTTTAGTCGCAATGTTTGCATGGTTCAGCATAGTTTTGGCACGACTCAGCATGCAAAATTCCCCTGAATATTCTCTCCCTGTATCGCTCCTCTCCCTGTACTGTATCGTTCCCTCTCTCTTCACCTTTTGTTACATTAGGCAAATGTTTGTTGCTTGCCTATGCCATTGCATGTCTTTCGTTTGCTTGGGTGAAGGAAACCCACAAGTGGATTGCTCTTAAAACCATGACATGGGCTAAGGCCAAATCAGTTGACTTGTTATAGCAGTGGAAAGCGGGTTTTTCATGATTCACGCTCGCTCTTGTCCCCAATCGCTGATCATTGCCACTCCAATTGCCATGATAACGGGATGACGAAATTCAAATGATGGTATTAAAACATATTAAAACGATGATAGACCAACGATTCTGCGCATTCTTCTTAGGACATATTCTTACGGTATCTTTCAGTATATCAGGATTCATTGTCAAGATTCATTATGTCATTATGTAATGTTCGAAGATAGCAGCCTTGCAGAAACAATCATAGCACAGAGTCGCATGTGTAAATGCCCGAAGACGCGTATCATGCCAATCCAATACAAACACCACAAACGAACAAGGTCAGAATCCGATACTGTAGTGCAGCCAACCAGGGACAAAACAGATCGATAACCGATATGATCAGCAGTTCAAACAAGTTTGACTTTAAGACTCTACTCATTATACTGTTCTGCACTTCGCAGACACTAATTCCATCTTATTTGCATCTTGACCTTCTTCGCACCCAAGCCTCCTGTTGACCTTGATCCGCTTGTGCAGAACGGAACCGCTGCTGCACCTTACCGGGTTCTTCAAAAAAAACAGCCATCCTCCTACATGTTGTCACATCACACCTGATCCCCCCCCCCACGCCCCCTTGATCAATGTTGTTGCCCAATGCATGCCGGCATCCGAACCGAAATTGCTGTTTTTTTGAAGGCCTTTCCAAGCAAAGCGATGTAACAACATTGAATTGGGGGAAAGGGGCCATGCAAGTTTCTTCGCAATGAGTGTGACAGGATGGCTGTTTTTTTTGAAGAACCCCGTAGTGACTTAGTGACACGCAAAGTCATGTTTTGTCATGTCACAGAATTGGCTCGACCTGATTCGGTCTGACATATATATATATATATTTGACGACGTTAAAACGAATCATAATCTCCAACACCAGTTCACAAAACCTCACCCAACATCTTACACATGTACGAATTGAGCATGTAGGCAGAGCGTCGACTCAGCAAGGCATAATTTGTGGCTTCTTATTACTGCACCAAAAAGCAGAACATTCAGTCTGTAGGTGGCTGTGGTATTAGCGGAGGCTGAGCTCTCACTTGCACCCTCATTCTCTCATGTTTTACAAGAAGTGACTCGGGAAGTGATTCAGGGGGATGGGAATGACAATAACGAAAAACACTGAAAAATGTTGCAAGATCTTGGTGCGAATGACAATGGCGGATCATGTGTCAAGTTTTGTATGTACAACTGAAGGCCACACAAAGCCTGCAGCAGCAACGGTCTTGGTGATTCCAAAACACATCCATCTTCTCCACTAAACTTGGTTCCGGCACGGCCAAGAACAGCTCGGTCAAATGCTCGCTGTGATGGATGTCCTTCGCATCAAAGAGCTTCCGCATGAGCACTACTTGTCATGAACTTGTTCACTGGTTTGGATGTCACAGGATGCAAGAACTCAGGAACTATCTCCCTTCGGCTATGACGACCCGCAATGCCCCCTTGCAGCCAAAATACTTCCATCCTGAGCAGGAGACTCAGACCGTCTCTGTGACAGCATCCCAGAAACCGAAAGAAGCTGAAAGAAAACGAAACATGTTGACTGACACTGACTGACACTGACTGACATCGGCATGGGAGCAGCGCCTATGTCAAGACAGCTACAACATGATTCAAGTGAGAGACTTGCAATGTCGAAGACTACTCGAAAAATCTCGAAAACACCGACTCAACCAACTCAAGAAGAATGCTCCGGGTTTCTATCGGTTGATGCATGCAACTGTACCTCAAAGAAGGCAAGATTTGGTTCAGCCTGCAGGCCCAAACCAGACTGGCAAGGGCAAGGTTCAATTTGCAGAGCAACGCCAGCTCAGGGGTCACCAAACGCCACCAGCACAGCGAAGCAATGTCATCATATCAGTCCAGGTGATGCTGTGTTTCATCACTGCTATCAGAGATGCGACTGTCTGACTGCTCTAGTCACCAAGGAGCAAGACTACTTGATGATCACTTCAACAGATGTCATGTAACTTGTCCAGGACTTTTCGGCCAAAAGATTCAGCATTCAAAACAGGTTCAATTCAACATGACTGTGGACTCATCCAGTCAAGGCCTGCTGAACTCCTTTTTGTGTTTAGGCTTGACATGTCACTGGAGCCGAGAATTTCACAGCTCCGCAACTCCACAAGAAAGCCGGAGCATACGAATGCATACGACGTATTGAAGTGGCAAAGTCATTCTGTGATCTGAGTAGCCCGTGGTTAAGGGGGTCGTAAGATTCCATTTCTATCGTTTCTATCCGTTTCTTACATTTTTTTGTCAGGACTATCCGTATGCTTTGATCTTTCCTGAGAATTTCCCTGAGGTGGCCGCCCACCGGTCCCAAGCAGTGGGATCCTGGCGGGTTCAAGACATGATGCATCCAAGCTGCACAGGAGTTCTGGATCGCTTCATTCACACTCTCTTTTCACATCATTTCACAACCTTTTCACGTCGTTTTAATCTTTTCACATGTTGTCACTTTGCGTCCAACGTATGTCCGTTGAAAAGCAATGAAAAGCGAAGCTGGTACCCCACATGCTGTATTGATCCCATGTAATGCGAAGTGGGCCTTGCGCACAGTGCCTTCACCCGAGCAAGGCCTGGGCCATGCAGAATGCAATCAAGAAAGAGACTTTGACTTGCAAACATACCAAGAATGATATAAATATATATATATAAATCCTAAAATGCATATTGCATTGTATATACGATATACATTATAATATATATATATTATTGAGATAATATGATATATATATATAATTATATATATATACAGCATATATGTATATATTATGAATCATGTGAATGGGCAAGAGTTGAAATATGAGGTTGCAAATCACACCAGCATACACCAGCATAGACCCTCTGGCTTTTTGAGCATTTGATTTACACTATCAAATGCATCCGCAACTTCAGTGCGCACATGTGGCATGGTTCCACCACACTTGAAGGCGCATGGCAATCATCATTCCAGTCATTTCCCACCAGAGGGTGCTAAACAGCCATGAGGCTGCTTTTCGTCAAGTTTTCTTTTCAATTCCATGTGACGTCCTGTTTCAATGTACTGGTCCATGTAGTCGTTGACAACCTCTACCAAACGCCGTGGACCATCCTCTTGTTCCATGATCCTGGCTACTTCTTGTGCTTTCTCTTGAATTGACGGAGTGTTGATACATTTTCGAATGGCATCTGCCAAGTCTTGGGGCTGCAACTTCGACATTTGCTTCAGGCCAACGCCAAAGCCACGACGGTTGAGCCACCTCCTGTGGTCCAGTTGATCCATGAAAATGGGACAAATCACAGTGGGCGTCCCAGACCTTGCTGATGCATTGAAGGTGCCCGCACCTCCGTGGTGGACAATGACTTTACATTGTGGGAAGAGCTGACCATGTGGTGCCGTCTTCAGAAACAAAACGTTTTCAGCACAGAAGGCCTTCAGTTCATCACGGTCAGGCTCCCCTTCAATATCCTGTTCCGACATTGTGGACCAGCTTGATACCACAATACCACGCTCCCCAACGATTCGCAAAGCTCTTAGGCTCAGCAAGCACATGAATTTGGAAGTGCCACAAATAATGGAGCCAAAACCAATGTACACAGGAGCACTGCCAGCTGCAAGAAAATCATTCATCTGCTTCAACTGTTCTCCACCGAAGGAACTACCTGTTTGATCCAAGGAAGGCATCAATGCACCGATTTGAACATTCATGCTATTGCATTCTGATGGTAGCTCTCCACACACTGCTGCACTTGTGGCAATAATGCTGAGAAACTTACACTTGGCATCATGGTAGTGGTTGTGCTCTGAAGTTGGTACTCGAAGTTGTGAGGCAGGAATTCCCATGATCTTCTCCAAAGTGGGCGCGCTATCTTTGAACAGTACTTGAAGCACCGAGCTCATAACCAACCGCCACGCCGGCCTGCGCAGGCATGGTGGGACGGTAGGAAAGCCATACACTTTCAAGGTCTTGCTTGGCCTTGCATTTTGAAGGCTCAAACAAATAACAGGTACGGGCACTTTTCTGGCTATCATCAGAGCCAGGGGTAGAGTAAGCGTACTTACCAGTACAAGATGTGGTTTCCAGTCCACCATCAGTGTGTACAAAGATTCAATCGCTTTCGCCTTCACCTCAGGTGGATTGAGGCGTTTGTCAGCTTTGTTGGCCGCCCTAACAAGTTTCATCAGGCTGTTGGTTGCTATGGCTTTGGTGACTTCAGGATCTGTGGTAAGCAGCTGGGAATTTGGTCGGAATGGCGTGAAAGGCACCTGAAATTCCTCCGCAAGAGCTTGTCCATCACTGGGACCAGCAGCCACGACATCGTAGCCACTTTTGCTCAATGCCAGCGCTGCCACTATGTACGGCTGGATGTCTCCACGAGAACCTTCGAAAGCAATTAGGATTCGTCTTGCCATGACTTTGCATGGGCGGTGACAGAATGGAAAATTATGAACACGGCTTGAACCAAATGACTCGGGCAAGTTGAAAGTTGCACAACCTCTAGGACCCATCTTATGACAGCAGGTCTTCCAACGAAGATGAGCGTCCGCAAAATTGAACCGGCTAAAGGTGCTCCGAAAAATATTCTCTTTGGGATCCCTAGCGCGTCCACCAGCACAACGTTGAAGGCTTTGGGTGCCAACGCACCAACTTTCCGTCCATCCAAACACCTGGGACCACTCTCGGGCCAAACGAGCACATGATCATCTATGATATATATGTATATATATATATGTATGTATATGTATATATACATATATGTATATTACATTAATTTGTGATCATCTACCCGGAGCTTGGTATAGCTCTGTGTAGTCCCTTTGGAAGAACTCACTGCTGGCGGTTCTGCCAGAACTGGCACTCAGGAAGCAAAACATAGACACCGAAACAAGCACCCACAGCTGCGGCATCGGCCAATGCCAGCAACCATGACGACAACGGCAAAACCAACGACAAGAACAAGAAAGAGGTCGAAAAAGAAAACCGTTTGAAACGAACAGTGCCTCAGTGCCTTCTCCCAAGAGTTTACTCAATTCTTTCTACATATTCTACATATTCTACCCCTCCCCAATCGATATTGGAGCCTTTTTTCCATTTTTTTCCTGTCCACTGTGGTCCACTGGCTCGGATACAAGATAAGGGGACCAATCCAGAATGTGTCGAGAAATAAAGAGTGACAATGCCGCAATGCCAATTCTTTTCTGCACATGAAGAGAAGCAGATCGATGTCTGGACTAGATTGACCAAATATAAGAAAAGGTGGACGGAATGAGGATCAGCACACGTGGGCCAAGCAAAATAAAAGATACAACTACTGTAATCATAATTAATCATATATGGATCATTTATTTGCAAAAGAGTGTGATGACAAACCCCAAAGACCAGAATGTTCAAACTGAATGGCTGCAACAGCATCAGACATGGCAATCGAAGAAGAGTGGCGACACCATTGCGGGCAACAGAAACAGCAGCAGCAATCTCGAGAGAGAGAGAGAGCAACGAACAACAGGAAACAACATGAGGCAAACCAATTTTCAAAAGCAAGTCATTAGCCATTGCAGATCATAAAATAGAGCAAAAGCATGCACATGTCAAGACAATATCCACAGGATCTCATGTAGGAGAAGGACTCATGCACCTTCACTGGTGTTTTCTAACGTTAGCGAATGTCTTTGCTAAGTCGCAATACCAGAGCTTCTGCAACACCCGCGCGCAACAGATTTGCCTGTAGCAACGCAGCCTCAGTGAGAGTCAAACCTGTCCAGCAACATGTTACCGCTCCTGAACAATGTGTGAACTTGTCTAAGCATGTCTATCCACTGATTCAAACTGCTGAGATAGGACAAACAAACGACTGTCTGTCCACAAAGTGTTTGATACCGTGAGACTAAGAACCGGACTCGTTCCTTCCGAGGCTCATTGACCTTGGCTGCAAGCCCCCTGAAACCTTACGGTACAAGATTGTACATCATGATCATGAAGATTACATGTGAAAATTCATGGTGATGAGGGTGCAGAAGCTTATGCTGCATTAGGCTGGGTGCACAAACCCATACCAGTACCAGCAGGATGGAACCAGCAGGATGCGGTGACGATAATTTCAATGAAAGTGATGATCCGCCTTTGGAAAAACAAGAAAAACCAACAACTTCTAGTTCCGAACCTCTCGACTGACATGCAAGTACTTGTCAAGGGCATTCATGGGAACCGAAAAGAATATCTGGAAAATGCACTATCTTTGACCAAAGGATGACATTTTAAAATTCAGGCCTGTGTCAATTCCCAACATACATTCCTATGATCTCTGTATTGTCGATTGCTTCAAGATTCAGAAACTAATAACAGTTGCGATACTTGTCTGTGTCCAACTTTCTTTTGTGAAGCCTCTGACAAGGCTGCAACGGAACGCATCTGCGGAAATGTCTGTGTTTGAGGCTTGAGGTGTCCGGAATTGTGTTGTCTCGCATCGCTCTCCAAGATCTCCCAGGGGTGCATGTTTGGGGTCTAAGATCCAGGCAACCAGAGATTCAGGCCGCAGCTGTGAAGCCACTTGTGAGGCCTCTGGTGATTTCTGTATTGATAGGGAAGGGAACGGGAATCGGATGGAATCTGCATGAATCTTCCCTCGTATAATCCTGATGTTTGGAAGTCCCAGCTACTACTCTGGCGGTACACTAGTTACGTCTCTACATATTAATGTATAGTGATTCATGTATACTATATACAATATTGTAATATACCGAGATGTTTCGTTTTCGTAAAAAACATGTTGTAGCCCAGTCCTGGCCTTGCTGCCAGGCGCTGCACAAAGGTCCAGCACATGCAGCTTTGCATCATGGCCAAATTTTTGAAGGGCTGCCATTCGTAAAGCTTCGACTGGTAGTGTGCTCGTGGCTTCCTGGCCTTAGATCTGATGCAAAAATACCAGCTGACATTGTTTGAGCAGTGAAAGGCATAGACTGGCGAGTGGGCTGAAAGAGGCTGAGGTTTGCCTCTGGAATTTGAAACCTATCAAAGTTCTGTGTATGTAGTACTGTATGCATTTGTATGCTGATCTTGTTTATTCGGCTTTAGTTGCAAGAAAGTTGCCATACACTTCACCGCTGAGGTGCAAAAGGCTCTCACCCAACTTTGGTTCCTGACATGCTCATTGCAGTTCATTATTGTCAAGTGATTCTGAGCGGTGTTTCAAAGCTCTTGGGTCAAAACCATGGTCAAACCATGGTATATGGGGTATGGCCATCCAACACATAATGGGAATCCTTACAATAGGTGTATGAATCCCTATTCATGGATTGATCACCATCTCCCAATATAGGCAGTTTATCCAAATTTGACCATGGCACATAATATGTATATTTATATCATACGTATATAAATAATTATAATATATATATATATATATATTATATACATAGAGTTTCTTGAGAATTCTTAAGAGCGATTTGACTGCGCCTGGCAGGAGAGAGTGTCGCTGACACCTACAAAGAAGCCTAGGAGGACTCAACGAGGGTCATACAGCTAAATGTGTGCTTAATGCAGAACATCAACAAACATCAAGGACTGCCCAGGTGTGCTTTTCCATCAACGACGAAAAACATCAAAGAGAGTTGGCCTGGCTCATTTGTTGCAAGCTTCAAGCATTTTGGACCTTCTGTCGCCTCCTTCATCAACATGGCGACTTTGGCTTTTTCGAAGCATCGGCCTTTAACTTCTAAATATCACCTACCACTGTAGCATTAAGTCAAGCATCCATCAGCACAGAATGGGCTTGGTGTCATGCTGAAGCCTCATTCCAAAGTCGAGATTTCGGAAGAGTGGGTTTCGCCTTGAGAGAAAAAACATCTATCCAAAGGACCATTGAATTCTGATGCTCAAAACTGGCACTCACCCAGGAGTGGTGGGTTTCTGTTTTCTTCATCCTGGGTTTTAACTTCGATATCAGGGTCGAGAAAACGGAATATCAAGAACGCAACACCTCTCGCAAACATCGCAGTATATCTCAGTACAACAAAGGAATTATTTTGTCTAGTTGTTTGTGCCTACGGACCGAAAACTGAGGTCGCGAAACGCTTCTTTTTCGAGTCGGATGTTCTTGATGCTACGTTGATGATGGGGTGGGGTGGGGTGGGTGGGGTGGGGTGGGGGTTCGTTCGTGTGAATTTGCTGAGGTTCTGATGATACGCTGATGATGGGGTGGGGGGGGTGGGGTGGGGCATGTTAACGTTCGTGTGAACTTGCTGAGGTTCTTGATGCTACGCTGATGATGGGGTGGGGTGGGGTGGGGTGGGGCATGTTAACGTTCGTGTGTGAACTTGCTGAGGTTCTTGATGCTACGCTGATGATGGGTGGGGTGGGTGGGGCATGTTAACGTTCGTGTGAACTTGCTGAGTTTTCTGATGCTACGTGATGATGGGTGGGGTGGGCATGTTAAGTTCGTGTTGTGAACTTGCTGAGGTCTTGATGCTACGCTGATGATGGGGTGGGGTGGGGGTGGGGTGGGGTGGGGTGGGGTGGGGCATGTTAACGTTGAATTGCTGAGTTCTTGATGATGGGTGGGGTGGGGTGGGGTGGGGCGGTTGTTCTTGATGCTGACCATGAACGTGAACTGCTGAGGTTCTTGATGCTACGCTGATGATGGGGTGGGGTGGGATGGGGTGGGGTGGGGCATGTTAACGTTCGTGTGAACTTGCTGAGGTTCTTGATGCTACGCTGATGATGGGGTGGGGTGGGGTGGGGTGGGGTGGGGCATGTTAACGTTCGTGTGAACTTGCTGAGGTTCTTGATGCTACGCTGATGATGGGGTGGGGTGGGGTGGGGTGGGGCATGTTAACGTTCGTGTGAACTTGCTGAGGTTCTTGATGCTACGCTGATGATGGGGTGGGGTAGGATGTCACAAGAAACCGAGAAAAGCTCAAAGCGCACACAGGCACAATAGATGCCGCATGGACGTCCTGCAAAAAAATCGTGCCAAAGAGTTTGCATGCCCGGAGTGCGGACTTGATTCTTTATTGCAAGATGTGGCAATGGAGATTCATCCACACGTACAAAAACTTGGCGAAAGCCACGGTGTCCAAACTGCAAGAGATGTAAAAATGACGGTGCGGACAGTTGAGCATGCCTGAACTTGTTTGAAGCAGAAATTGCGTTTCGCCTAGGCGAAATACACATTTATCTAAAAAACCACCAAATTCAGACGTCTGAATTTCAGAGTTTTTGTGATCGCTGAATTGTGTTTTCGCCTTGGCGAAACGATGATTTTTTGAAAAAAACAGTATTTCACGACCTCACTTTCCGGTCCGCCGGGTTGTTTGTGCAGCATGTCCAAAAATCGCTAGACTCTAGACTCGAACCCCAAACAATTTGCTACCGCCCAAAGGGCCGAACTTAGACCATTTAGAGTTCCATTGCAAACATCATTATTATTATTATTATATTATTATAATTAATATTATTATTATTATTATCATTATTATTATATATATGGCATTATATGGCCCTTGAAGATCCTATGCCTTGGCTCAGTCTGTTCGTCAGGCCTTCGTGCGCCAGGCGCTGCTGCAAGCTCCGTGGTCGTGTTGTACGCCGCCGCGACGCTCGAAGTGCTGAGCGAAGAGGACGGCAGCAACTCCTGGATGAAGCAGAAAAGTGTCAAAAAAATATAAAAAATAGGGATGAAACATGATGAAACATGATGAAACAACAATATGAATGAGATTGAATGAGTATCAAACAATAGGAAACACATAGGAAACATTTCAAACAGGGCTTAGACCATCTGAGAACATGGTTGTTTTTATTGGAAAGGTGTGGAAATCGGAAACTGCTTCACCCAGACAGCTTCCCACTGGGTCGTGCTGATGCATATACTGTCCATCCATCACGACTTCAGGAACTAAACATCTCAAAATTGTTGATCGAAAATGCACACAACTGCACGGTCACGGTCATTGAAATGTTCATCCAATCCTCAGCAAACGTCGAAGCTCGCAGGCTCCCAGGCTAGCACAAACCTCTGCCAAGAAGCGCCTATCGACCGATACGAGCAGTCCGGGTCACAGCCTCACTATTGGAGTTCAATGGAGCTCAGATAACTAAGGTTGTCAGTTGTCAGTAGGAGTTGCTTGGAAGGTTACAATCAATCCTAACCTGCTGTCTTGATTTCTTCAAAAGATATCCAGAATCAAATTCTCCAGCCTGCCACCATGAACAATTCGTCTAGTTGCTCTATTACACACAGCCTGTGGAAACATAGCTTAATCATGCTTAATCATGCTTAATGATGTTTCATCCATCATAATCCCATCATTTCTAAGCAGAAACTTCGCCATCTTCACCCGAGTCCTTGGAGCTTTCGGTTTCCGCCGCATACGCATGCGGCGAAGAACTGGCGGCTTTGGCGGCGAAACGCCCATGGCACAAAGCATGGTGCATTTGGGGCAAGATGGGCAAGCAATGGCAAGCAATGGCAAGCAATGGCAAGCAATGGCAAGCGATGGCAAGCAATGGCAAGCATGTCCATGGCTACACTGCCCACAGTCGTGTCGATATTCTTCAAGAACAGTGATCCTACATTAACTGAAAGTTTGATTTGCTACGATCGGCCCGGTAGCAATGTCCTCTTCTTCCTTCAAATCATGGGGTCAATTGCAACCGAATGCAACCGAGTGGTACCATGTAGTGCCACTGAAAAACAGGCACTCGGAAAGCCGCTCATCTGGTTGCCAGTATTTGAATGCAGCGTTGGGCGCTGATGACTCGTGTGCAGCTGGAGCCTGGCAATACAAAAGATTTATCATTTATATTCATGTATGCCAAACTTTTCAGGCATGGGCACATCTGTACGTGAGACTTATACTATAGATGTGAGTTGAAGTCAACGAGTCTTAAACGTCATCAGCACGCGGTGTGCCAGCTGGGCGAAAGCTACATCGATCATTTTCAAACATTGACCTCTTGCACCTGAAGTTCAACAAGGTCTTTTTACGCCTCGCCGATCCAAAGCAATGCCTCGGGAGGCTGACCTGACCTAAGGTGATTCAGTACTGGAAGATGTAACGAAAGCATACAATAGCAGACTCAGTATCAGGCACGCACCATATACGCATACAAATACAAACAAGACGTAACAAGACATCAACAACACCACTGACTGAAGGTATGAAAACATGGCAAAGATCGATTGGCGTCGATTGGACAGGTTCAGCTGAGCCACGAAGCCATGCTGATCGAGCGTCACCTGAGGAAAAGGAGGGCAAGGGAAAGCGGATCTGCCATGCACGATTCGACATCGTTTTGCACCTTTATCGCATAAATTCATGCATTGCCGTACACCGACAACCTTGGGCACTATGTTCTGTAGAGTTGACATGAAATGCTCTTCAGAAAAGCTGGAACACATCAGTTGGATCTGCTGTCCTACCACTCTGCTGTTTCTTCTTCTTTTTTTCGTCGTCTTCTTCAACAAATATTACATGATCTTACATGTCTTCCTGGAAGCCAGTAGGCGGTAGATGCCCGTGGTATACAAATTCTGAAAAGGCACTGCATGTTGCAGTTGTGCTAAGCGTTCGTGAGCAAACGCAAGTGAATGGCGAGCATCCTGCAGGAATTGCTCAGGCAAGAGAAGGCAGGCCACAACTGAGATTCTTATGAACTCAGAGGACACTCAGACCACTTCGGACCTCTCCCAGGAATACCTCCTTACGAAGATCTATGAAGTTCATGAAGCACATTGAAACACACCAAGTCGATCCGTTCCAGTGGTCCTTTGCTTTTTTATCAAACCTAGGCCTAGTCTCAGCAAGTCGCTGTCACTGGGAACCTGAACTGGCCCCTCCACTCCAGATATCGGTAGACCATAGTTCTTCAGTGACTAAGCACTCAACGAGAAGGAAGCAGAAAGTTGCAAAAATGAAGAACTACAAAAATTGTCCACTTTCCCGTTGCCTATTTATGCATTATGCAAAATTAGGCAAAATAGATCAATAGATATCATTTGCAGGTAATTCGAATGCTTACAGTACCTGATATTCCCTGACTTTGAGGTGTCTGCGAAGACTGGCCTGCAACTCGTCGAAGAGTGCCCGGCTCAAACGCATGCAAATCTGGACCAGATCGGCTGAATTCTTTTCACCTAAGCAATGCAATCCTGCTCAACAATGCCCGATCATGCCCGATATCTGGAGTCTGCAGAACAATAAATATACACTCTGCCCTGCAAACCGTACTGTTCAGTCACAGCGAATCTGAAAAGCGTTGCAGATCCATCCCTCCTGTGCCTTCAATACCCCTTGGCGACAGATCTTTGGCCGCCTAAGCAACAGATTGCGCAGCAACATGCTAGACAAAATTTGAACAGTTTATACAAGACATTACAAGACTAGAATATGCCTGTGCATTTCATATCATTTCACGCTCGGGCAGGGACCGTTGCATCCGCAGCCTTGTCAGCTTGGCGCAACCTGGTGCGAAAATGTCAATGAAAATGGCATGAAAGGAAATCCATGGAAATAGGACAATATGACTGCAACACAAACAGAGATGCAAAACATAAAGGTGAATTTGGGAAAAAACCTGGCCTCAAAATCATGGAAGAAGAAAAACAAGAAATGCCAGTACCATCTCCAGTAAATTTACAAATGAAAGTACACACGATCGGATTTGTTTCACATCGAAATGCATAGAGACAGCTAGAAACTCACAGTTTCGAATCAAAGTATATACATATATTATATATATACATATATAATCATGTATATATATACATATGTCCTACAAAAATATATTTCAATGGTGGGTTGGATATATTTTGTTTGATCCAACATATTTTTTTTGATCAGGCAACGGGGGGATCGAAATGCTCTAGCTCGCCACTCGAAGGCATCCAAAAAAAATATTCCAAACAGAAATAGACTTTGATGTTGGATCTAGATTGCCACTTGGAGCAGCTATCCAAAATATGAATCCATTTCGGGTTGGTTTAAGATTCATTGATGGTTGTTTTGGGGTCTATTTGGGGTTGGTTTAAGGATTTTTTGGGGTCGGTATAGGGTCTGTTTCTACGGTTGCGTTAGGGTTGGATTAGGTTTATTTAGGGATCGGTGCGTGCATGTAAATAGTTGTAAATATGCATATCCATATCTATATATAATCATGATGGGATACATAGAATATAGAATCGATAATTTCGTCCTCCAAAAACATCTTCCGGAATCGGTTAAAAAAACCTATACATAGAATAAAAACGTCTTCCGGAATCGGAAAAACAAACTATACATAGAATATTTCCGGCTATCCATTTTGATCCGGGATAATAAATTTTACAACATTGTTTGTCTATATGGGATGCGAACCTGAGATGGAAATATCAAAGCTTATCCCAGGTTGGGAACAACATGTGGTTTGCCATGTTTTAACACAACATTACACTAAGATAAAAACTGCTCAATTGCTAAGACCCCTGTGCGTCCATAATCCTGGTCCAAAAGTAATTGACGTATTGTTTTTTTTTGGGTTTTCGCTTGTATTCTCTTCTCTTTCTCCCCTTGCTTTTCCTTTTTTCCTGGATGTTTGTTTGGGCTGCCATCAATTATCAGCTGCAGAAACCCATACATAGAATATGGATGAACATGGTGCATTTTTCAATGATTGCCTGGAATTTGGCAACTTGTGGGGGGGGCCCTTTTGTGAACTTCAAATTGCATTCTTTCTGTATTTTACAAGGTCAGCCACCAATATGTTACAATAACAATGGGGGCAAGTAACCGCTAAGCTGCTGGCACTGTTTTGAACCAACGCTACAGAGTAGATCGATGATATATACACTACATGGTTTTACTGCAGGAGTTTTTACACCCCCCTCGGGCGAGCAGGGACGACTGCGGAGAACGAATAACCCAGAAGAGCATACCCTCGCGGGTAGCCAAATCTGTTTATTTGGTTTTTAATCATTTTTATGCAGTCTTTCAAAGGTCCCTTTAAAAAGCTCAAGCCCGTAAAACCCAGCGCAGCTTTGCAAGGAAGGCACGTTACCATGCCGCATCTTGCGCTATGCTACAAAAGAAAATCATCGTCTACCTGCGGTTCCAATAGATCCACCGGCTGCCGGCCTCGTCACGGTAATACCAAGCCCCACGCCAGAAACTCCATTCTCGGCGTGCACCATAGTGATCACGATTCCAACTCCAGGAGGCATCCGGGCGACCGGAGCTTGCAGCCTTTGATGTGACTCCTTTGCTTGCTGCTTTTGCAGTGGGCGGTGTCTCAGGCTCCAAGAATGGTCGCGCTCCTGCTTTGGGTGTTGGTGGTTCGGGTGCAAGAAATGGTGCATTGTTGGGGTCAACTGGGGCATCAGCGTGCGAGGCATCTGCGCGAGCAGAGCTTGAGGCGGCAGTGTCATCATGTGTGGTGACGGATGCATCAGCTTCGGCTTTGCGTTTTCGCTCAGTGGTGGGCGCGACCGTGGGGTCGGCCTTATGACCTCCAGGACCTCCAGCCTTTGCAGCGGCGCTCTGCTTCTCTTTGCGTTCAAGGTTTCCCCGAACCAATGGAAGATTTTCCTCATACACCTTTTCGAGGAATTCAAGAGTGCCATCAAAAGGAACTTGGACAGTGCCCTTCCAGGTCAAAAGGCCACGGAATGCGCCACGACGACCGATGTAGCTGACATATTCATCCTCTGTAAAAATGTGGCGGCCGAACATGAATCCCCAGACCTTCTTCCATGTTTTGCGGAACTCAACTGGGAAACCATCAACACCTCGAGGCTGGGACATGAAAATCAACTTAGATAAGCAGTTTTCATTTTGGGCATTGGCGGCGACGCCAGCCGAGATCTGAGCTTTGGTCCTTGGGGGATCGGGGAGGTTGCCATATGCGAACATGTCGTCGAATATGCAGTCCTGCAGGTCCTTCCCCTCACCGTGGATGCGGTCGCAAAAAGTGACGTCGCTGGAGTATCTGTCTTCCACGTCCTCGTAGCCCAGCGCTTTTGCACGTCGATGCCTGTCGCGGCAGTCTTTGAGGACTGCTGATTCCACGGATGTGATTCCCCTGGGGCCCAGTTCCCGGCGAAGCAGATTGGCTTGCTCATCCGTCAAGGCTGTCAGCAAGCTTCCGCTCATTTTCCCAAACATTCCGAACCCGGCGAGACTTTGCATTCGCCGTTCAAGGATGCGTGTCCTCCTGTTGGGTTTGTCGGCCTCTTTTGTATCGCCACTTTCGTCCACTGGGAGTGGTTCATATCCACATGTGGTGCATGTCACTTGGCCACTGACGTACTCAACCTGGCAGAGGGGGCAGGAGCCCATGAAAGGTTCGCAGTACTTGGGTGCAATGTAAACACGGCGCGTCCTTGCGGGCGGCTGGTCAACTTGCATTGGGGCAGTGGCTGCATCATCATCAGTGGACTTGGCATCGGGTCGCCCCGTGCTGGTGTCATCCATTGGGTCGTCATTTGCATCATCT